CTATATAATTATAAAAACATTGGTGTATCAATTTTTTTTTTAAATCTCACACGCTTTGGAAAAATATATAAAAGATATTGCCCACCTCCTCTTATTTATTTTGATATATTTCCTCTATTATTGTAAATGCTTGCCTTAAATAAATGTGTAAATAGCAAACACATAGCAAAATAATTATCATAAAATACTCCCATTTTTGACGCATAAATGATATAAAATCCAATTTGTACAATACTGTAATCATTTATCATTTATACAACCATTTATAAATGAAAATTAATTTAATCTATTTCTATATTTTAAAGGGCAAAAAGATTATTTCAAACAAAACTTTATTAATCGAAAAATTGATAAGATACAATTTGGAGATTACATATATATATATATATACTAGACGGGTGACCCGGGCTTCGCCCCGGGATTGACCCGTGTGCATATCTACCCGAGTGATATATATTTAGATAAGATTTTTTTAAATAATTGTTTGTTATTAGCATTATCTATTTGTTTGCATCAGCATAATTTAATCTAATCTTTGATAGAGGACGCTGTTCGTTAGCTAAGTAGAATAATTTGAATATATAGTTTTAATAATTGGTTTATATATTTTTTAAAATAGCCTATCGTCTTCCCCGTATTTTTTTACCTATGTATGGAAATTTTGGTTTGAATAAGTGAACTACTGCGAATTTGTATACCAGACATACAAACATTCATTTATATATATATATAAAGCAATACTATTTTTTATTATTCAGTAATTTTATCTGAAGATGAAATAACAATGCTGTTACCAAACGTCAGGTAAAATTATTTATTTGGATTTGTGGTCATCTCTTTATTTATCGAAGTAATAAATAAAATGAGGGGGTCGGTGGAAGGATGGTCTAAACCGTTGGTTTTCGACCGCTACGACTCGGGTTCGATTCCATCATTGGGCACTTTTTTCTGATTTATAAAAAAATGCTCCAATGGCCCCCGATTCTTGCAAAAATCCAACCCCACCAGCGAATGCAAGTAACCAAACGGGGCTCTGGCACATTTGTAAGTGCAAAGTCGAACTGCTTTTCACATGTGTAGACATGTGAAGCACTTACAGCAAAAGCAGTCGCCTACTTCTACCCACCATGATTATCATGGCCTGTACCACGTGTACTAGGGATAAGAAAAAAAATATATTTTACCAATAAATTATTGGTCAAATAAATGATATTTTGATCCAACATATGCCTTTTTAATTAAAGATTTATTTATGGATTGCTCTATTTTAAAAACAAAACTTTATTAATCGAAAACTGATAAGATGTAATTTGGAGATTACATAAAGTAATGCTATTTTTTTCTCATTCAGTAATTTTATCTGAAAATGATAACAATGCTGTTTCCCAAATGGTATAATTTATTTATTTGGATTTTGTTTTTTCACTTTGTGTTTATATCTCGAAATAATAAATTCGATACATTTTGGCAATTAAGAAATAAGTTTTTAAAAATCTGATTACATAAAATCTTTAAGATGACGATCTAATTGATAGTTTCGGTATCACCTTGGCTTTTGAGGTATTTTCGCATTGATAGTGGTCAGGATGTTTGAAGTAGAAGGTGATAGGTCAGGCGAGTATGGTGGGTAGAACTAACGAAGTTTTATTGGCCAATTCATATAGCAGCTTTTGTCGTTTCATAATTAATGCATGTGATCAAGCGTTGTTATTGTGAAGAATTTCCCCTTTTATTCTTTATTTCGACTTAGAGCGCTATGTGCCCCTAGGGACACTTGCACTTTAAAGATAAACAAAAATTTTGAAAGAAAAGAAAGAAAGATATTTTAAATATGTACAGAATTAGTATACAAGTTAGTTAGATGAAAAGAATAAAAAGATTCCATTTAGAGAAGTTTTTTCTTTCAGATTTTCTGCTAATGTGTGTGTCTATCTGCTCAAATGATTTTGCCTGAATTAAGTAATTGTTTGCTTGATGAGATCATCCTTAGACTATCAAACATCTATCATTATTACCATATGTCAAGACACGCATCTATAAGTACTTCCTTGGCGTGGAACTGAGGAGTGTTCAAGAAGACCTTTTCTAGAGGACTCTCTCAAGGTGGGGAAGCCTTCCTTGCTGAAGAAATTTGTACATATACAACTGTATATATTTCCCTGCACATTTTATCTATCCTTTATGTACTCCTTTATTATATTTATTTAATCTAAATTTTTCTTTCTGTAAAAAATAATAAGAAGAATCAATAGAATTGTTTGACTTGTCTACCATTACCCTTTTCTGGTAGAATAGTGGTATAAAATGTAATTTTTGACAGTCGGTATCGAATCCCCACGCATTGAACACTTTTTTTTTTTGCGAAGAAAAAAAATATGCTTCAATGGTTTTCGGTGTCAGTTTATTTATTTATTTTTCCCGTGTTTGGGTTGATGTCTAACTTCCATTCATTGCCCCATTTGGCTATAGTTGGTTTTGTGTAGTTAGTAGTCTTATTGATTTGGAGTTTGTTAATATTGCTGCGTCGTCTTTCGAAAATCTTTGTTTGGCATTTTGGATGTTGAGGGAAATCGTTTATGTAAATGTTGAATAGATAGGGTCCAAGGATAGAGCCTTGGGGGACTTCAATCAGGGTTGGCTTTGCCATGGTGATAAAATCTCTTTGAAATAGCTTTTTTTTGTAATTTTTGTTATAAAGCCATCATGCCATACTCTATCAAAGGCTTTCGTAATGTTTAGAAAACAGCACCTACTGCCTCCTTGTGTGACTTTCTTATCTGTATATAGTCTATTACTGTGATTAGCTGGTGGGTTGTGGAGTGTCCTTTTCTGAATCCAAATTGTTGAGGAATGATAAAGTTAATAGAATCCATGTACATCTGCAATCTGCGAAGTACAATTTTCTCGTATAACTTACCGATGGTAAAGAGAAGGCTGATTGGTCTGAGATCTTCTGGTGATTTGACGGGTGATTTTTTTTTGAATGGTTATGATAATATCATGTTTCCATCTCTTCTTTCTTATCTTCACTCAATCATATTAGGGTATCAAGCTTGTAAAGCATGTTTCCATGTCTTCGGGAAGTAACACAGGGGTAGTGCGGCATTGAAGATCCCAGCGAGGAAAACTATCCATTTGATGGGAAGGTTTTTTGTTATTTGTGTCGTATAATTGTTGTGGCCTGGCTTTGTGATTACCTAGGGTTTTTTTATCACTTTTTTTACTTCATTTGGCGTTGCCATTGATAGTATTTTTTTCTTGAAGATGTTGATACGAAAATGTCTTTGAAAAAAATACTTTACAAGACCAATTCCAATTTCTTTGTCGGTCAGCAGGGCTTTTCCATTGACATTTAAGCTAGTGATTTTGTCCGTTTTTTTTTTTTTCCTGATGGGTTTTGTTTTTTCCAGAAGTCCTTTGGGCTCGAATCAAGCTTGCTTATGAAACGATTACAATTTTTAGATGTTTTTGCTTCCAGGGCTTGATTTACCTTTCCTTGAAGATTCAGATAAGTAGCTCTATAGGAGCTGGATCCCAGGTTGCTTGCCATCTTTTCCGACCTTTACTTTTCTCGCTTATTGAAGCTTTGGTATTTGGGTTCTTTATTAATTTGAAGGATAAGACTATGGTGTTTTTCGAGTAGCTATTATTGCTTTTCTCATTTAAAATATTAATTGCTGAGTTAATGTCTACTTCTGTTATCAAGGGAGTCTGGGGGGCGTGGTGGAGATTAGATATTGTTAAAAATGAATCCAATTAGTTACTCGGCTGAGCTGGGTTGTGAATTCATCCTTTGGACAATTCAAAGATTACAGGGAGATGGTCAGGTGATAATTCGTCGGCGGTTCTGGCCTTTGAGATCCAGGGAATGTTTTTAAAGACAGCGTGGCAGTGTTTCAGATCTCTTTTAAAATCTGAATTTGGTTGTTAGATTTGTATTGACCTTGGCTGTTGCTGTACTCTAGGTAATTGGCAGTGTGAGCTTCTTCACAATTTGCACATTTTGGGGAAAATTGTCTTGACTTCCTTGGACAGTCCTTCGAGTGGTGATCACACTTAACCCAATTTGGTTTCAGGAAGCAGTTAAGTTGACCCTGCCCGAAACTGCCAGTTGAAGCATTGAGTCACTCGGTTTGTCTGAAAGATTCTACTACAATTTTTTATAGAAAAGTTCAATTATTCCGTAAATTTTCTTGCTTAGTTCGTTTTTTTTTCTGGTAATTCTACCAGCACTATATTTATTGGCCTTTTAGTTGATTGTCTGTGAAGTCTCTTCACAGTAGTCCCAGTAAAGCTCATTGCAGCAAATTCTATGGCTATATCTTCAGTCTTGTAGGCTGTTGTCACACCCTTTAATTATACTCTAAGTGGTTTATCTTCCTGGATTCTATAAGCTACCGTTATTTTTTTAAACGTATTCCCTGATTTTTTAAAGTCTGAAATATATATATATTTTTGCTTTAATGATGTGCAGACATTCTATTTTCCATAGATCGTACATTGGATTTTTTCTGTACACAGGTATTTCAGCTTTTGGTAGAGTAACTTCCATTCTGTTACATTTTCGGCTATTACAGGTGGAATTCTTGGCTTTTTTGAATTTGCAAATGTTATCCAAGGGCCATCTTCGTCGATGTTTCCTTCGTTGAGGGGTGGTAGAGAAACTTCACTTATTTCGCTCATGGAAACATTATTTTCATTAAAAGTCAATTTTCCCATTCTCAGTGTCTTTTGGCTACGTCATGTTGAATCTGATCAGGATTCGCGAATTCGTTTCTTTGTTAAAAGAGTTTCTTCTACTTTGTACTCGATGCCACATCTTTCAAAAATTTTCAAAATTATGCTGATTTCGATTATACTGACCTTTTCAATGATCGTTGATTTGACTACAATCGGCTGCATCTTGGGGCAATGGTTGTTTTTATTACATTTTAAGTTATTATAAAAGGCTTTATTTTTATACGATAATATATATTACGAGTATTTACAGATCAAAAAATTCCTTCAAGTCGGATTTGAACCAGAAACCGTTGATACATCTACAAGTCTTTCGCTCTGCCAACTGAGCTATCGAGGGTTGTAAAAAATCGATATAAAAAAAAGTTCCTCGACCCGGATTTGAACCAGCGACCTAAGGATACAGCTGCTTAAACATCTATAGTCCTCCGCTTTACCAACTGAGCTATCAAAGGATTTTATAAACTATTCCAATATATTATTTTTAAATATAGTGAAATTCATTTGATGTATCAGGATATTAATGGAATGTTTACCCATTTTATCCTATCCTCTATAAATTCAGTAAGTTTTAACCATTTCACTGGTGAGACAGCTTCTTCTTCTTGCTTATCTCCACTCAATCATATTAGGGTTTCAAGTTGTGACTCTTGATGGTGTCTATTTGACAACCATCATGACTGGATGAAGTAGAATGCGTCTGCCTTTGTCATTAAGACTGGGAGCACTACTCAATGGCAGGCCGACTTAGCTCCAAAAGAAATGGCCGCCTCTGACATGAGGAACAGACGCCATATGCAGCGGCTCCTAACATGGAGTATAAACGCTGCTCATCCTGTATCCCTGGATTAGGATCCCTTACAGGGTACTATCAGCCGGGCCAGCTGAGCCCAGGTTTTTTAGTGAGCTTGTTACTGCTCCCCCTCCTCCTTTTTCATCCGGGCTTGGGACCGGCAAAGGTGGCGTTTGAAACTGCTGATTATATTCAGGCCATTCCAAAATGTAGTTAATTAAATAAACGTTTAGTTCCGTGAGAACAAACTCACGAAGGCATCAATCTACATTAATTACATAGCGACGTTTGGAAATAAAATTTATATTGACATATTTAGGCTTATGTTCCTTTATTACTGGCTCCCTGCACAGTTTGCAAGCACAAAAGTTAACCTTAAAAATCTAAAAATAAATAGAGTGTGAGACTATATGTTTTTCTAATAAATGCTTAACTCTACCTATAATGTGAAAAATTGGAAAAACAAATTATAAAGATATAGTTTAATTAAAAAGGCATATATTCGATCAAAATATCATTTATCTTACCAATATTTCAGTTGGCTAAACGCCAACCTTTATCAAGGTATTATAACATATCAATGTGTGTTATAATACCTTAATAAAGGTTGGAGTTCAGCCAACTGAAATATTGGTAAAAATGATATTTTAGCGTAGAAATCAAGTCTTTGTATATCTGAAGATGTGAATGTATTTATTGATGACGTCACGGCGACCAGTCGACAATTATTAACAAACTAGCCGAATGACCCGGGCAACGCCCGGGTTTTACCCGATTAAATGTTTTTATTCAAACACTATTCGTTACAATTATAAATTGGAGTCTTGATTTCACTCTTGTGAAACATCCCGCTCCAAACTTTGTATCTGAGAAGCGATATTTTTATAGAGAGATGATCTGGCTTTGTGTCTTCTTCTCGAATGAATGTTTTTCTGTTAGAATTTTGTTCCTGCATACTAAGAGTGAACTGGCTTCACCCCTGGTCTTTGCTTTTTGGAATTTTTCACGATATAATTTTGTATCTGCTAATCAAACATGATAAAGCAATATTGTCATCATCATTTACTGACTAAAAAAAAAAACAACAACAACTATTTTTGCCCAGAACCTGTCAATTTCAAATTTTATTGGCTAAAAATCCGATAAATGTATCTTCCAGATTTTTCTCTATGTCCTGTTAAAACACGTTTTACATGTACATTAGGTCAGCTGATATTACCTCCCATCTTCACCGCTAGAGGCGCTGCTTGCGAGCGAAAGGACAAATTTGCAACGCAATTTGCAAATAACTCGAAGAATATTTGGGATAGAGACCTGAAATGTTCACTATAAGTTTTTCCAGATTCTACTCTATATACTGTAAAAATTTCAGTCAGTTACGTATTGTGGACGTGTATAGCCGACATAGGAATAAACACACATACATACATACATACATACACTGAATTTTATATACATGTGCGAGTGTCGCGCTTGTCGTGATGCACACGCGTGTGACGGTGGTGCTGTGTGGTCACGTGTATATAGGGATTAACCAAACTATATACAGCTAGAGAATATCGAGCAAGCAAGCTAGGCAATTAAATGATTTAACAAATGTAAAATTTTACATCTGTTTCAAATATTTTCGTTGAATAATTGAATTAAATTAAATATAAATTATTTCTTCGCAACAATATTTTGATCCAATATATGCCTTTTAAATTAAATATTTATCTATGGATTGATCTGTTTTTCAAAATAAAGATCTAGTATATCATAAAGTTCTTTTATATCTATTCTATCAATTTATATGATTACATCAGTCATATTACATCTACATTTTTATTTAAGTCATATAAAAGTGTTTTATCTAAATTTGACTATTTCAGCCCTCACAACTTGCTCACTCACGATGATACAGCAATTATTTGAAACATTTTTAATTGGGTCATCTATATCAGTGTTGGGCAAATATTAATTAAAATGATTTATTAAAGATTAACAATTGATTAATTGTTAATTGTAATTTTCACAATTAACAATTAATCAATTGTTAATTGTATTTTTACAATTAACAATTAATTAATTGTTAATTGTATTCATACAATTAACAATTAATTAATTGTTAATTGTACTTTTCTAATTAACAATTAATTAATTATTAATTGCACTTCAATTTAATTGAAAAATAATTTTTTAATGCCCAACACTGCATTCCAGTACCACTCTCTTCTCGAACAAGCTGTCCAACAATTTGTGACTCTTTGGCAGATTTGTCATTGTCGCAAAAGAAAAAAGGCGTTCAACTGCAGCTGACGATGGTAAAGGTGTGTTGTATTTAATAAAAACACTTTTTATCTCAGGCAGTGTTGGGCAAATATTAATTAAAATGATTTATTAAAGATTAACAATTGATTAATTGTTAATTGTAATTTTCACAATTAACAATTAATCAATTGTTAATTGTATTTTTACAATTAACAATTAATTAATTATTAATTGTATTCATACAATTAACAATTAATTAATTGTTAATTGCACTTTTCTAATTAACAATTAATTAATTGTTAATTGCACTTCAATTTAATTGAAAAATAATTTTTTAATGCCCAACACTGATCTATATCTTCTATCTATATCTTCTATATATATAAAAATGAATGTTTGTATGTTTGTTTGTTGGTTTGTATGTCCGGTATACAAATTCGCAGTAGTTCACTAATTCAAACCAAAATTTCCATACATAGGTAAAAAAATACGGGGAAGACGATAGGCTATTTTAAAAAATATATAAATCAATTATTAAAACTATATATTATTAGTCAGAAAATGATGACGATATTGCTGTATCATGTAAGATTATCAGATACAAAATTATATCGGGAAAAATTCCAAAAAGCAGAGGCCACGGGTGAAACCAGCTCATTATTTTGTACGCAGGAACAAAATTCTAACAGAAAAACATTCATTCGAGCAGAAAACAAAAGCCAGATCATCTTTCTATAAAAATATCGCTTCTCAGACACAAAGTTTGGAGCGGACGTTTCCAGTTCCAGTTCCAAAATAACTTTATTAGGTGTCGCTCAAAAAGAGCAACCTAGCTTATGATATTAACAATGAATGATATGTAGCGGGACGTTTCACAAGAGTGACATCCATGCCGCCAATTTATAATTGTAACGAAAAGTATTTAAATAAAAACATTTAATCGGGTAAAACCCGGGCGTTGCCCGGGTCATTCGGCTAGTATGTATATAAATCAATGTTTGTATGTTTGTTTGTTTGTTTGTTTATATGTCCGGTATACAAATTCGCAGTAGTTCACTAATTCAAACCAAAATTTCCATACATAGGTAAAAAAATACGGGGAAGACGATAGGCTATTTTAAATATATATAAATCAATTATTAAAACTATATATTCAAATTATTCTACTTAGCTCACGAACAGCGCCCTCTATCAAAGATTAGATTAAATTATGCTGATGCAAACAAATAGATAATGCTATTTTTAAAAATCTTATCTAAATATATATCACTCGGGTAGATATGCACACGGGTCAATCCCGGGGCGAAGCCCGGGTCACCGTCTAGTTTTAAATAAAAGAGAACCACGATCCAATGGATTAAAATATGTATAACTACTTAATGTAGATCAAATTTATTTTAAAACAATAAATATTGATTAATGGTAGACTCATGTTAAAATATTTATTATGGATCAATATGGATGATAAAAAAATGAATCAACATATATAGTCACGACCGTCTTTCCTCAACAATTCCTCATCTCTGTCACGGATGCGCGCGCATCATCATTATGATCATTATCATTATCTAATGATAATAATAATTATTATTATTATTATATTATTATTATTATTTTATTATTATTAATATATAGTCACGACCGTCTTTCCTCAATTCCTCATCGCTGTCACGGATGCGCGCGCATCATCATTATGATCATTATCTTCTATAGAAGCTTCTATCTTTATAATTATGGATATTTACAAAAAGTCAATTCGCTCGCGCCTCTAGCGGTGAAAATGAGGGGTAATACCAGCTGACCTAATGTACATGTAAAGTTTGGAGCGGGACGTTTCACAAGAGTGACATCCACGGCTCCAATTTATAATTGTAACAAATAGTATTTGAATAAAAACATTCAATCGGGTAAAACACGGGCGTTGCCCGGGTCATTCGGCTAGTATAAATATATGCATGATGGAATTTGAAGCAGATTACTTATTTATTAGGGGGGGGGGTCGGTGGAAGGGTGGTCTAAACCGTTGGTTATCGGCCACTACGACCCGGGTTCGATTCCCGCATTGGCCACTTTTTTATGTAAAAAAAAAAATGCTCCGATGGCACCCGATTCTTGCAAAATTCCAACCCCACCAGCGAGTAACTAAACGGGGCTCTGGCACATTTGTAAGTGCAAATTCGAACTGCTTTTCACTATGTAGACATGTGGTGCACTTACAGTAAAAAGCAGTCGCCTACTTCTACCCACCATGATTATGTTGGCCTGTACCACATGTACTAGGGATAAGCAAAAAAAAAACTCATTTATAACCAATATATTAATAATTATTAATTAAAAATAATTATTTTTAAACCTTGGAAAATGGATTCTCAGGCTTATTTTTAAAACTAGCCAGTGACCCCCGGTTTCTCTT